GAGTTTATTGAGACATGTTGAAATTATTTCTTTGATATATTCAAAAAAATATGTTAACATTCTGTGCATCACAATCTAATAAAAAATGTTTGACGCAGTGACGAATTGCTTCTAAAAAAAGAATGAGCTATGAATTAAAAAGGCAGATACGGCATGTTTTCCTTCAAAAAGAAAATATTATAAAGAGATAAGGGTGTCATTAATACAATTATCTCGTTTTTCATTTGTGCAAACTTATTTTTTTTTTTGGTAAAAAAAGAACACAAAAAGAAAAAAATTATAATTCTATCTACCTACGAGTTCTCTTAATTAACATCAAAGATAAAATACTTTTTTCGGCACATCAATCAGAGGCGAACTCTTATCTCATCTAAATTATACTTGACGGATATATAAAAGTATTTCTCACTCATAGAAACTTTCATATTACCAAAACTTAGTCATATTATTTCACTTTCTCTTTTCACATATGTCATCTGTAACTGTGGATACAATCAATTTTGCTTCTACCCAAATATATCTATATGGTTACCTTTTTATCATTATTACTGGTCTCTTTGGTAACTCAATCAATATTATCATATTTTCATCAAAAAACTATAGAACTAATCCATGTTCTGTCTACTTTTTGACAGCCGAAATCAATAACTGTTTGACAATTCTAATATATGCTATACCAAATGTTGTCAATTATATCAAAGGTAAAAATGGTACAGAAACTTATCTATGGTGGTGTAAACTTATGAATTACCTGTGTGATGTTTCTTATATCTACATGGTTATAGCACTATGTCTAGCATCTATTGATCGATACCATTCTACTAGTCACAACGCCTCACGACGACAAAGAAGTTCGATGAAAATAGCAACAATTTCAGTTTCAATTGCAATCATTGTGTCTCTTCTAGTGTCAATACCCGATTTAGTTTACTGGTATATCGATACTAGTTTTGGTGAGCCAATGTGTATTTATGTCTCTGTAATTTATAATTATTATCTTACATATTTTGTTATTTTCACTGTTTCCACATTCGGACCTATTAGTGTTTTAACGATTTTTGGTGTTCTTACTTATCGAAATCTAACAAGTTTGCACCAAGTGAACCTTCATAATGCAAGAGCGGCTGTGATCGTTACAACATCTGTACTCACCGTTACTAATATCCCCGCTATACAAAATAATAACAGCAACAACAACAACGCTCATATTTCTATAGGTCAAGGACAGAGACAGACGATGATTGTCAAGAAACAACAGATTGACAGACAATTTTCGATAATACTAATTTTACAGATTTTATCTTTCTCTATTGCGACTGTTCCTTTATGTGCTAAGCTTATCTATTCAACTGCAACAGCGAACGAATTGAAAAGTGATATGAGTCAAGCAATTGAAGGACTCTTTACAGCTACAACTTATATTTTTGCTTACACATCTTTCTGCACTAGTTTCTACATTTATTATGTTTTATCTTCAGCATATCGACAAAATGTAAAGAAGGTATTATTGAAGAAAAGACAAACACGAATTGGAGCAGCAATTAACGCATAACTCGCCGAAGCTAATGGATTTAGTTTCTATGTGGGAATACAAAATTCTAGCTACGGAAACTCGAGCGTTCTACTCTTTTCTACTCTTGTTAATTTTCAATTGTACATTTTATTGATTATATTCTAAAACAAATAAAAAGTCCATCATAGTTTATATTGACTAAGTGGTGAAAGTTCCTCCGAAGTTTTTTCTTCCTTGCAAAAAAAGAAGACGTATAAACTGAACGGAATAGGTCTAGAAAAGTAAAGATCTAAAAAATAAAAAACAGTTAGAGGATACACAGATAAAGAATGGATGTAATGGTAAACGAATGAGTTGTTATCATTCATGGACATATCTGTATGATTTCTACAATGATCTTTAGTAATAACTTGTCTATATCATAATAAAAATATTTATTTTGAAAACAAAGAATAAGATTGAAGAAAGCTTCGCCAATTTTTGAGTTTGATATAAACGGCATCAGGTTGAATTCTTCTTCAATATCGTTATCTGATAACGATATATAGCATCGAAGGCGTTGGGATGAACACATTCCTACATAGCTTGGAGGACCATCATGGTTGGGTGTGGGTGTGGAGCTCATTAGAACATAGATACCACCCATCCATACCCACCCACACCCATCTCTACCTTTCGATATTTTCTATTTTCAATATTTTTATTTTCGGCATTTGAACTTCCAACATTATTCAGATGATTTCTGAATATTATAAATGCTGCATCACGAATTGCACCTATTCATGCATTCTCACCTTCAATTCAAAATTTATGCGTCACTACCTTGTTTTTTTCTTCTTGATGCTTTTAGGTATCCTTTTTAAAGGCGCATTTATTTTTTTTCTATTCTCTTCCGTTTATTACTTTAGTAACGGGTATTGTTTGTGTACACAATGACGAAAAGAAAAGCATATTTAACAATGTATGTTGGAATATTTAAGTCGGTAGTAAAAATGATTTTGTGAAGCATTTGTACGTCGACGGGTTTTGCTTTAGTTTTCAGACAATCTGAGTGTTTTCAAGCAATTCTTTTTAGGAGTAAAACATTTACAGCATCATCTTCGATATGATTAATAATATATTTTGTTAAAATTTAAAAAAACTATTTTCATTTATCATAGACAAACTACTATAGATTTATAACAGAATAATTATTTTTCTGTTTGAATTGATCAATACAGTACAGACGAAATGGCAACTGTTTCAGCGCCGCCCCCGTCAGCCGATGCTCTACGGGATGTTGTACGAAATGCTGGCAAGAAAGAAATTGTTAGAACTCATATGCGAAATCTAATTGACAAAATGCTCGCTCGTTATTCCTCCGAATTTGTTGTCTGCCGAGAACTTATTCAAAATGCCGACGATGTAGGAGCAACATGGTTTCATTTTGAGATTACATGTCGCACATGTAACGATGTTAGACGACAACCAAGTCATACATCGGGTAAGAAAAGCTTTTATTTTTTTGAAGGTATAATTTATTTGATATAAAATTCTTATGCTGGTTGTTAACTTCTGTGATATAATTCGAAGGAGTTTATTGAAAATCTTCTTCGCTTAACATAAAATATTTGAGAATGGAGGTGAATGTGGGTATTCTATTCATCTGACACCGATATCCATCCATACCCTTTCAAATGAATGACTGCTTTTTATTTTTAGAGATAGATTTTCACAATAGTTGTATTACGGAAATTTGTGCAACTAACAATGGGCGTGAGTTTACTGAAACTGATTGGAAGCGTGTAACTGCCATTGCAGAAGGTAATACCGACGTGGATTCAGTTGGCCAATTTGGTGTTGGATTCTTTTCTGTGTTTTCACTTTGTGAAGAACCGATTATTATTTCGGGAAAAAAATTTATGGAATTTATCTGGCAAGACAATAGAATTTTGAAAACATATCTTCGTGATTTACCTACCAAGAAACAATCTCAATCGACTTCAATTTGTCTTACGTTGAACAAAAAATATATTTTACTTAATCATCCAACTACTGAACATGTCGAGATATTGACCGGCAATTATCGATTATCAAATGAAGAGACAACAAACGAAATTTTTTTAACTTTGAATTTATCAGACCTCAAGGCTTATTTCACAAAAGGTTAGAATAATGATTTTCAGACTTAGTCTTACTTATTATTTGTTGTAGCACTTTCATTTACCAAGTACATCAATGAATTCGTCATTAAAATCAATGATACAATAGTATATGAAATTCAAAAGACGAAAACTTGTAAAACCATGCCTATGAGCATAGCGAATTTTGATGTAAAAAAGTCGATGAACGATATGCTTCGTTTCGAGTCACTTTCTCACAATGAACAAACATTCGCTATTACCAATGGTCCTTGTATTACTTTAAATTATATTTCTGTTAAGGCATCTGTAGTTGTCAATACCGAGTTTCAACAAAAAATTCGGCAAATTCTAAAGAAAAATTTACCACCTACAATTCACATTGAACTTTTATACGCACCCAACTCTGTAAATTTTGTTTTCATTTCGTTTCGTATCTACATCTTTTTTGATATCATAGGTTATCAAACAACAGCAACAGATTCAATTAACAACAAACAACGATACCAATGCAAGAATTTTCAATTCCATAATACCA